TGGTGGGAAACTCCCAGCCGTGGGGCACGGGGGAGCAGAGGGCACAGGGTTCCCTCTTTGCTTAACTCAGGGGGACGCAGGCCAGCTGCCTCAGTGAATCATAGAGCCATAGAATGGTTGAAAAAGACCATAAAGATCATCTGGTTTCAACCCCCTGCTATGTGCAGGGTCGCCAGCCACCAGAGCAGGCTGCCCAGAGCCACATCCAGCCCGGCGTCCTGTGCTCAGAGCTGTGATTTCCAGCCAGAAGGGAACACAGAAGATAGGGTAGGAAGTAAAGCACGTTCCCTTGGTTTCTCACCCTGTGTGGGAGCAAGGAGTCTAGGTTGGCCCAGTTCCCTTGCTTGGAAAACAGCTTGGGGGTTTTGGAGTGGGAAGAAATGAGGGCACTTCCAATGTGAAGAGGAATGGCATCTCCAGAGCCCCTCTGCGAAAACATTTCCTATTCCATCCCAAGGATGAAATGTGCTGTACCTAGAAACCGTTGGGTTTGGAGTCAGAGCTGGGTTTGCATGCATTTTCTTTATTTCACAGAGAAATTGCCTAGGCTGTGTTTCGAGTCCTTTGATTATGTGTATATTTACACACACGCACTAATTGGCTTTGGGAATGAGAGGGCAAAGCCTTGTCTCTCTCGGCCTGATGCGTGTTGTCAGATCTCAGGTAGGGGTTGCAGCCAGCGCAGGCTGCAGTGCTGGCACCCAGGGCGTGATGGCAGCACCATGTGCCCCACACCCTGACCCCACTGGGTGAGCAGCTCTCCAAGGGCATCGTCTGGGTGGCAGAATTAGGTCATGAAAGGAATGGAATTCGTTTATTTGTAGTGATTTTAAATCACAAGTGACTTTCACATTCATTAACTAATTACAGCCAATAGAACACTGAGACCTCCAGGCCGCTCTTAACCTCTGCAAACCTCCGTTCTTTCTTCCCCAAGTGCTGCTGCCTGCAACTCATCGTGGTGCTTTGATTTTTAAAAATAGATTGCCTCCAATATCATTGCTACCATAAAGGCAGAGGGAACTGTAATTCACGCTGCTCCTGAGCCCTGTCAGTCACAGTTAGAGGTTTTGCCTCTTAATCTTTAATTGGGAACCAGGCAACTTGCCGTGCTGTCTTCATCTGCCACTTGTTTCAATGTCCTCTTCCCTGTCCTTCAATGGCAGCAGGTTAGAGGTGACACGACCTCTGTGAGCAGAGGAAACAACAGCAGAGAAATGTTGGCCATCACTGAAACTAAAAGAGTGATTTCTCAGCAGCCTTGTGAATCAGGCAATCCGTTTGTGTTAAGGTTGGTAACTCAGTCCTGTAACCCGTGCTGGGTGCTTTCAGCCCTTGGGCCACTTTGCAGCTCCAGGTATTCGTCCTCCCTTAACCAGACAAATGAGTCGAAGAAAAAAGGGTTCCTACCTCCCCTCCATTGGGCTGTGGCATTTGTAGGTATTGAACTTCTTTGTTTTCCTGTCTTGCAGCAACTGCGATCTCAAGCTCGTGCGCTGATCACATTTGCTGGAATGATCCCTTACAGAACATCTGGAGACACGAATGCAAGACTGGTGCAGATGGAGGTCCTTATGAACTAGCAGAGAAGCTTTGGCTCAGGGCTCGGCAGCCGGGCCTGTTGGTAGTGCATCTGGGGCTGGGACCAGAGCCCTTTTGTATTCTGTATTTTCGTTGATGGAAATAAATTTCTTTGATTTCTATTTGTTTTTTGATATTTTCATTTTTGCTGTTCTTTTGTGTTTTTATGTGTTTGTTCATTTAAAAAAAAAAAAAGTTGGTTTATCTTTAGAAAATCATTCTCAGAGAGTAAGTATGGAGAAAAGGCGGTTCTGCAGCCCCCTGCACTGCTGTCCTGCCCTCACTCCGTGTTGCTGGGATGTGAGGGCGCGTGCACTTCTGGTCACAGAGCAGGCAACAAAGCAGGGGAGCCGATTCCAACCTTTGCACGCTGCATTATTGTGGGAGACAATTAATTATTTTATTTTTATTTTTTTTCAGTATGGCTGTAAGCGTAACCTCCGCTAGGGGATGTTTGACCAACTTCCTAACTACCTTTCCACCAAAACTATTGTGGCGTGAATTTAGATGAACTTTTGGATGGGAAGCAGAGAGCCAACTTGCCATCATCCCCCCAAGGACACGTATGAGCAGCTGGGGGCTGCTGGGGGCGCTGGGGGCTGCGTGTGGCACCGGACATTTCTGCAGCACAGTGAAGGTTGAAGCAGCTTGGAGGACGGTGACGTGGGGAGCCCTGAAGCCAGACAGGCTCAGGACTGCATTGTGCAGTGTGTCCTTTCTCCTGGCAGGCTGTGTGTCCTCAGGCAGCCCCTGACCCGAGCGGAGGGGCAGCACTACTTGGCCCCTTCTGGAAAGGCTGCCGTTGTTCCCTGCTCTGCTGTGCTGCTCGCTGACGTGCTCATTTCCAGCCTTACACCTAATGACCTTTGAGGAAGGCTGTGATGCCAGTCCCGCTGGCCCTTCCAGGCTGAGCAGCTGCTGAAGCATTCCATGCTTTGTTCTGAAGGCCAGGAAAGCCCCTCTGTGCTGTGCTGCCCCAGGAACCAGCCGCAGGGATCCAAAGGCCTGGGACCCGTGCTGCAAGTTAAGGCCCAGCACTGCTCTGTGCAAGACACAGGTGCCAAGGGGTGGGCAGGGGTGCTGAGGGCAATGGGAGTCTTTAGCTACTGACTGCCCTGTGCTTTCTTCTCATGTCTGTGCAGGTGGTGACTTGCAGCACCCCATCCTCCCATGCTCCAGCTCCACATCCCAGCCCAGCTGCAGACACCTGGCTCTCCTCCCCGCGCGCTGAGCTCGCTGCTGACTGCCGTACGCTGCTTTGCTGCAGATGGCACCTCGTGGTCTTCCAGATGCCACTGTTTCTCCCCACCCCACGCCTTCCAGCTTTATGCTTAAGGACTTGTACTTCTGGAAAGAGCAGCCTGCTCCTGCTCCCTGCTGTGTCTGACCACCAGGCGTTCTGCTGCAGGGTCGGTAACCTCAGTGCCTTCCTGCCCTGACTTTGTTAGCGGGCAGCCTCCACCGTGGCTTTCTGTGGGTTTTGGGGATGTTAGAATTGATGCGTTGTTCAGAGCAGCCTATTGGAAGGCATTGCCACTGTCCATTCTGACGGGAGGAGTGCTTCCTTTCTTATGTCAGGCTTTGAGAGCAACCTCAATTTCCTACATGCAATTGCTGTGAGCAGAGTTTCCTCGTGGCCTCTCCCAAGCTGCTGTCATCCATGCCCCAGCGGGGGGCTGTGTGATGGCTGGGAGCGCAGGCTGCTCTGCTCCTGGGGGCTCTCTTCAGCCTGATGGTTCCGGCTCCTTTGGGCCCATTGGTGTGAGCAGCTGCTTGGCCACCTCACAGTGGGCAGTGCTGGTGGCTGCTGATTCCCAGCCCGTTATGATGAGGATGTGACTTTGCTCCCTTTGTGTAAGGTGAATTTAGGATCATTTGCTGATTTCCTTCTGCAGGAGCTGAATACACGCCAGCAAGCACACCGCTGTCTGTCCCCAACAACCCTGGGCTTCAGCAAACCACAGCGCTTTGCCTGCAAGCCTTCAGCTGTCTGTGTGTGCTGCAATCCGCCCTTGTGGGATGGAGGTCAGATGGGGGGACAGGGTGCAGCAAGGTGGGAGCGGTGATAACCATCTCTCTTCTCTTTGCAGGTTCCTTCCCTGCAGCTGGGGGCTCGGTCCTGCCCTGCAGTGCTCAGTCCCACTCTGGGCAGCAATGCCCAGCGTGCTGGGCTGCCTCTGAGGAGGGAAATGGGGCGGTTAAAGCTTCCCTGAGGGCTGCAGGGATCTCTGCTTTGACAGGCTTTAACAGAGTCTCCCTGTGGAGTACTGAGCTGTGCTCCACGGACCGGATTAGGGTTGGTTTGACACGTTTAATGGCCACAACGGGCACAGAGCATTCCTCATCTGCCTGCAGCCCCTGCGACGCCGCGGGACGGCTGGGTATTGTTGCTGCAGCTGGTGTTGTGAATCAGGCCGACGGCAAGCGCTTCCTACTATCCGGCTATTTCACTACACCAGGGTTGCATCATACCACTTCCTTCACCCGCCTCCTGGAGCCTCCATGACTCTCCCGGAGCATCTTGCTGCTGCGCCTGGCCTCTGATTGCTGAGAGGCTCTGATCTGTGCCGTCTGGGACAAGTTTGTGTTTTCTGATGGGATAATGAGCTTCTAAAATAAAGCTGTGGCTTCGAGGCATCAGTGTGGTGCTGTTTGTGTTGGTGGAAGCTGATGCCCGTGTGGCAGGAATGGGCGAGGTGGGACTGAGGACGGTGTGTATGCATGCGCACAGTGTGTGGGGAGCAGAGCGAGGCCCAGAGAGCAGGTTGAAATGTTCGTGCAAGTGCAAAGGGCCACCAGAGGCAGTGGCTGGACAACCCAAATTTTCCATTAACTCGCAAAGTGAGTGGGCTGAACTTGCAATGGGCTGCAGCGTTGCCCTCCAATGTTGTTACCTGCCCTGTTAGCTTTCTTCCACGATGTTATCTGTTGCACATTTAAGTGCATGTGTGACACTGAGCCCTGCACGAAAGCCACCCATCCCCTTTTTGGAGTGGGGGTCTTTTCCACCCAGGGGCTTCCAGTTCCCCTCTCCTTTGGGTTCAGCTCCCGGCGCAGCTCAGCTCCTTCAGCAGTGATGCAGCTGTGGTTTGTGGGATCTGCTGGGCAGTGCCGCAGGGAAGGGGCAGAGGAGCAGAGCGCTGAGCTCACCTCCGGCCCCCACCTGGGAACATTCAGTTCCCACCCAGATTTGTTATGGAAAACCGCCGCATTTCTCTGTAGCTCTGTCCTTGGGCCTTAATCTCAAATCCGTTATCAGTGCCGCGATCGGGCACCGGCAGCCACTGATGCTGATAACAGCAGTTTTGATACCCCCTCCAGCTATTTTTTCCCCCTGACCGGCTCGGGGTGGTTCCAGCCACTCGCATCCCCCCAGGCGCTGTGGGGCCGTGCTTGGCTCTGCAGGTATAAATCCCCGACCCCAGCACTACAACGTGGGACCCGTGCAGCCACCATGGCTGAGCTGCCATGTGCTGAGCCCCCGCCACGCTGCAGCGGCCGCTTCACCATCAGCACGCTGCTGGCTGCTGAGGAGGCAGCGGGCTGTGAGGGCACGCAGCTCTCGGGCAGCTCGCTCTGCACCAGGACCTTTGGCTACAACACGGTGGATGTGGTGCCCGCCTACGAGCACTATGCCAACAGCAGGGGGGTGGGTGAGGCCGGACGGGGGAGACCATCGCTGGCGGACCTCCACTCCATCCTCAAGGTGAGGCCTCGGTGCAGGGGCTGCTGGCCGCACTTGTGCTGGTGTGGCTCTGCCCTCAGGCCCGTCTCTCCGTCCCACAGCCTGAACCCGGCCACCACCTCCGTGTGCCGCTGCCGGACCCCCAGCGCAGCAATGGCCTCCCCGACACAGAGGAGGGGGCTGGAGAGCCGAGCAGCGCCCCTGCGCCAGAACCTGTCCGCTTCGGGTGGGTGAAGGGTGTGATGGTGAGTGCCCTGCGTCCCGATGGCTATCGCAGCATCTTCACGTTTTTCCCAATCGGGAAGAGAGGCGATGGCCTCATCTTGTGCCAGGGGAAGTTCAGGTGGAATTTTGGGAACAACTGCTGTTCCGAAAGAGCAGTAGGGCAGTGGCACAGCTGTGCATTCCCGTCCCTGGAGGTGCCCCAGAGCTGTGGGGATGTGGCACTGAGGGATGTGGGCAGTGGGCACGGTGGGGTGGGGTTGGACTTGGGGGTCTGAAAGGTCTTTCCCAGCCTTAGAAGTTCTGTGATCTTTGGTTTAGCATTCATGGGTTGACAGTTGGACTGGATGACCATAGAGGTACTTTCCAGTGCCTGTGATTCTGTTTCCACAACCGGAGCTGTTCCCCATCCCTTCCTGGTGCCCTGTTGTTAGCTGGAGGCCAGCAGACCCAGCGTGGCTCTGCCTGTCCCGTGGTGCCCACCCACCCTCACGGCCGCGTTCCCGTTGCCCTGCAGATCCGCTGCATGCTGAACATCTGGGGCGTGATCCTCTACCTGCGCCTGCCCTGGATCACAGCCCAGGCAGGAATCGGTGGGTGCCTGTAGGGGATGAAGGCAGCAGGCGTGGGGAGGATGCCGTGGGGCTGCCAGCGGGGCTCGGCCCGGTGCAATCCATCCTCTCCTGCAGCCCTGACGTGGCTCATCATCCTGATGTCTGTGACCGTGACCACCATCACCGGCCTGTCCATCTCTGCCATTTCTACCAACGGCAAAGTGAAGTCAGGTAGTGCTTCCCTGCCAGGTCCCTCACAGCACTCCTGGGACGACTGCACCCAAACCTTCCCCGTGGGCTTTCTGTGCCGCAGGGGGCACCTACTTCCTCATTTCGAGGAGCCTGGGACCGGAGCTGGGCGGCTCCATCGGCCTCATCTTCGCCTTCGCCAACGCGGTGGCCGTGGCCATGCACACGGTGGGCTTTGCTGAAACCGTGCGGGATCTGCTGCAGGTGAGGACGTGGCTCTGCACCTCCTGTCCCCAAACCCACCTGCACCCCCCTGCCCAAGCAGAGCTCATCATCAATACCTGCTTTAACGCCGCGCCGCCGATCATCAGCCGCCAGCTCCTCCAACTCGCGGACGTGGCGGCGGTTGGCTGAGGGAATTCTGTTTCCTGGTCGGTGACGGTGCCCCTTCCCCAGGAGCACGACTCCCTGATCGTGGACCCCACCAACGACATCCGCATCATCGGGGTGCTCACTGTCACCGTGCTGCTGGGCATCTCGCTGGCTGGCATGGAGTGGGAGGCGAAGGTACCGCATCCTCCTGCAGCAAGCCGGCCTGCAGCCCGGCCGAGCCTCCTGCCCCTCTCTGCCTCTCCAGGCCCAGATCCTCTTCTTTTTGGTCATCCTGGTGTCCTTCATAAACTACCTGGTGGGGACGGTGATCCCGGCCAGTGCTGAGAAACAAGCAAAGGGCTTCTTCAGCTACAGAGGTGGGTTCACCATGGGACCGGGCCATGGCTGAGAGTGATGATGAGAGCTGGGATTGTGTTCTGGCAGTGGTTTGCTTCCATCCAGCGCTGCAGTGTTGGAGCTGGAAGAGGTGGTGGGAGCACCAGGTGGATGGGGATGCTTCTCTGCTTCCTCCTCAGCTGACATTTTTGCCCAGAACTTCGTGCCTGACTGGCGCGGACCTGAGGGCTCCTTCTTTGGTTTGTTCTCCATTTTCTTCCCATCGGCCACTGGTATTTTGGCCGGAGCCAATATCTCCGGTGACCTGAAGGTAGGTTTTTGCCCGCCCTTCCTGAGCTGTTGCTTCTCAGGACGGGGAACTGGGGGCCCGTGAAATTCAGATGGCACAAAACCATCGCTGGGGGCCCCTGGAAAGCAGCTGTGCATCTCCCTGCGACCCCCTCGGACAGGACCCTGCCGTGGCCATCCCCAAGGGCACCTTGATGGCCATCTTCTGGACCACGGTGTCCTACCTGGTGTTGTCAGCTACGATAGGTGAGTGCAGTGGGCTGTGGCCCCGTGAAGCAGGGTGGTGGGCAGCAGGAGAAGCACCCGTCCTTGGAGGTGATGCAGGAGCAAAGCGTGCATGTAGCTGTGCCCCACAGGTGCCTGCGTGCTTCGGGACGCTTCGGGCAGCCTGAATGACAGCGTGGCACTGGGCTCACCAGGCTGTGAGGGACTGGGCTGCAGCTACGGCTGGAACTTCACTGACTGCGCCCAGCAGCAGAGCTGCCGATACGGCCTCAGCAACTACTATCAGGTGTGCCTGGGGGTTCAGGCTCCGCAGGGTGTGTGGAGGGCTCCTTCTGCTTAGATTTTCAGATGTGGCTGAATGTAACCACCTGGATGATGTTACTGGAAGCACCGAGGGCGGTGGGATGGGGTAAGGTGCAGGGTGATGTGCTGGCGGCACGGAGCGTCCTGACCACTGGGTTTTTGGGCAGAGCATGAGCATGGTGTCAGGATTCGGTCCCCTCATCACAGCTGGGATCTTTGGTGCCACCCTCTCCTCAGCGCTGGCCTGCCTCGTCTCGGCCCCCAAAGTCTTCCAGGTGAGCATTGATCCCTGTCCCTCTCCCTGTCTCTGTCCCCAGGTGATGGGACAGAACATCCCCGCACCTCTCACCCCTTTCTCCCCACAGTGCCTCTGCAAGGACCAGCTCTACCCTCTCATAGGCTTCTTTGGGAAGGGCTATGGGAAGAACAGCGAGCCTATCCGTGGCTACATGCTCACCTACGTGATCGCCATTGGCTTCATCCTCATCGGTGGGTGCCTCCAGCCGTGCCTGGATGGCTTGGCTGCGGCGCACCGCTGACGCTCTGCCCTGTCCTCCTCCCGCAGCCGAGCTCAATGCCATCGCCCCCATCATCTCCAACTTCTTCCTCTGCTCCTATGCGCTCATCAACTTCAGCTGCTTCCATGCATCCATCACCAACTCCCCAGGTGGGTGCCAGCCCCAACCCCGGCCCCATCCTGGCTGTGGGGTGAGGGGAGCCGGCGGCAGCCGCTGTGTGTGTTTGCGTGCAGGCTGGCGACCCTCCTTTCGGTATTACAGCAAGTGGTCTGCGCTCTTTGGTGCCACGGTCTCAGTGGTCATCATGTTCCTGCTGACCTGGTGGGCGGCCCTCATCGCCTTCGGCATCGTTGTCTTCCTCCTGGGCTATGTCCTCTACAAGAAACCAGGTGCGTGGTGGCTCTGGAGAGGGCCCCACATCCCCCACAGTTGTTGGTGCCCGTTGCCAATCCATCCTCTCCACACAGATGTCAACTGGGGCTCCTCCATGCAAGCCAGCTCCTACAACCTGGCTCTGAGCTACTCGGTAGGGCTCAGCGAGGTGGACGAGCACATCAAGAACTACAGGCAAGGAGGCTGAGATTGGAGCTGGGAGGGAGGGGAACAGAGCCGGCCCCCCACGAAGCCAAGATGGGATTGTGCCCGTGGCCACGGCCTCAGTGCTGGTGAATCACAGAGTGGGGCAGCTGCACCCCGAACCCCACGTCCTCTGTGCCACGTGGCAAGGCCACCCTCAGATTCTGTCCTCTCCTTCCCATCAGGCCGCAGTGCCTCGTCCTGACCGGGCCGCCCAACTTCCGCCCAGCGCTGGTGGACTTCGTGGGCACCTTCACCAAGAACCTCAGCCTGATGATCTGCGGCCACGTGCTGATCGTGAGTGTGCCCACAGGGCGCCCTGGTGGTAGAGCACCAGTGTCACTGTCAGCAGCACCTGTCACTGGGAAACCAGTGGAGTCGAGGCTGATAAACCAAAATCTGCCGTTTTTTGGTGCAACAGCAATTCCCCATGCACGCCATGCTTAAACCCAGGTTCTGCCAACAGCTGGGGCAAGGGGAGATGGAGCTCTTTGGTGCCCAGAGCACTGGGATGGGGACAGGGACAGTGGCCACCCGGCCAATGGGCTGTGCCCCCTCCCTGCTCCCCCAGGGCCCCCGCAAGCAGAGGGTGCCCGAGGCCCGGCAGGCATCGGATGGCCACACCAGGTGGCTCCTCAAGAGGAAGATCAAGGCCTTCTACACCAACGTGCTCTCTGAAGACCTGAGGAGCGGCGTCCAGATGCTGCTGCAGGTGGGGCAAGCTGACCATTGCAGGCCCTGCTTGGGGCACACAGTGCCAGCTGGATGAGTGCCTCAAGCAGGAATCTGTTGCTCCCATTGCTTTTCCTGAAGGCCGCCGGCCTGGGGAAGATGAGACCCAACATTGTCGCGCTGGGCTACAAGAGGGACTGGCAGGCAGCCGCACCGCAGAGCCTGGAGGATTACGTGGGCATCCTGCAGTACGCACTGCGTTGGCACCTGGTGGCTCCATGTGCCTCTCTGAGCCGGGCAGTGGCATCTCGCTGTTGTGTTGTCCCCACTTCATGGGGATTTTGGGGGGGGAGACCACTGCCGTCAGCTCCTCCTCCCTCCTTCCAGCGACGCCTTTGATTTCAAACACGGTGTGTGCCTGCTGCGGCTGCGGGAAGGGCTGAATGTTTCCCGAGTCCCACAAGCCCACAGTAAGTGCTGTGGACACGCAGTGCTGGGGACCGTCCTTGTGATGGGGACTGGTACCCTGAAACCAGGGCAGGACGTGTCCGTGCTCCTCTCCCTCCACAGCTAACCCTGCATTTGGGGCAGCAGAGCATCCTGATGGGAATGGCACTGGCAGCAGAGCAGCACCCGGCACAGGCATCGGTCAGTGCTCATCAGGCATGTCCAGGGCCTCCTGCAGCCTTGGGATCCACTCTGGGGAGCTGGGTTTGTGCACAGGGCACCATGGATGCAGGGGTTGAGGGTTCAGCTTGGGAAGATGGTTCTGTTTGCTACCGTAACTGCTGCGGGGTGGTGCCATGCTGATGCCTGCATTTCTCTTCATAGTAGACCCCGAGCAGCAGGCGAGCACCATCTTCCAGAGCCAGCAGGGCAAGAAAACCATCGACATTTACTGGCTCTTTGACGATGGAGGTAGGCCCTGCCTCGTGCTGCAGCGCCACGCAGCACAGGAGGATGGGGAGGCACTAAAAATGCCCTGTGGCTGCATCCTGCAGGGCTCACACTGCTCATCCCCTACCTCCTCGGCCGCAAGAAGCGATGGGGAAAATGCAAGATCCGGGTGTTTGTTGGCGGGCAGATCAACAGGATGGACGAGGAGAGGAAGGCGTACGGGCAGTGCAAAACGTGCACGGGTGTCCCGGCTCAGCAGCCGGTCGCTGAGCTCTGGGAACTGTCCCTCTCTCTGTGGCAGGATCGTGTCCCTGCTGAGCAAATTCCGCCTGGGCTTCCACGAGGTCCACGTCCTGCCTGACATCAACCAGCAGCCCCGGCCGGAGCAGTAAACAAACCCCCTGCTCACGCAGTCCTGCCTGAGCCACGGCTCTGCGCGGCACAGATCCCTGTTCTCGGTGCCACGGCTCCACTCCCTCGCAGCAGGCTGGGAGCGCGCCGTGCCCCGTCCCAGCGCGGTGTCCTTGCCTTGCAGCATCAGGAGGTTCGAGGAGCTGATCGCACCCTTCAGGCTGAACGACGGCTTCAAGGACGAGGCGGCGGTGAACGAGCTGCGGCAGGGCTGTCCCTGGAAGATCTCCGATGACGAGGCGCACAGGCACAGGGCCAAGGTAGCGCTGGGGCAGCCTGCAGGGAGCCTCCTGCTTTTAAGTCAGGAACGCGTGGTTTTGGTCTCCTAAACCTTCACCACCCGCTCCGCAGTCGCTCCGACAAGTGAGGCTCAATGAGATTCTGCTGGATTACTCGCGGGACGCGGCGCTCATCGCCATGTAGGTGTCGGCACGGCCGGTCCTGCTCCCTGTAGGGCAGGAATGGTCCCTTTGGGTTCTGGACACCCCACGGCTGTTGGGATGGGGCAGCGCTGCTGCAGGCAGGGGGAGGGCACCAAGGAAGGGGTCCGGCCCCAGGGGCAGGACGCGGTGGTTCCCTGTTTTTGGGAAGCACTGTGTGAGCTGGTGCCAGGAGGTGCTTCCTGACGCAGCCCCGTCTCGTGGCCGCAGCACGCTGCCCATCGGCAGGAAGGGCCGCTGCCCCAGCTCCCTCTACATGGCCTGGCTGGAGACGCTCTCGCAGGACCTGAGGCCCCCGGTCCTCCTGATCAGAGGGAACCAGGAGAACGTTCTCACCTTTTACTGCCAATAAAGCCTCCCGCACCCCTGCCGCATGATTTTTTTCAGGCTGCGTTTGAGCGATTCCAGGGGGTTTGGGGCAGTACCAAACGTGTACTGCATTCACAGCAATGCCCAAATGGCTGCAATGGGGCTGCGGGGCTCCAAGGCAGCAAAACCTGCCATGGCAAAAGCGAGTGTGGTTGGTTTCCAAAAGCCCCACGCTGGCATCCTTGTTGCCCCACATTCCCCCCCAGGAGAAACGTGCAACTCCATTCACCTCCATCATCACAGCGTTTACTGATTATCGCCACCAGGATTAGAAGTGTCAGTAGAAAAATAAAATGTACACAGCTCTCTATCATACAAAGTTTTGTTCATGATAGCTGCACTTGCCAAGGAGCCACAAAGCCAGGGCCGTACCCAAGCAGAGCAGCACACAGGAGGCTGGGAGGCGAATCAAGACCTGCTCAAGCAGCGACTTTCTCAGGCCAGAAGGGCTTTGTGGATGGGGCTCACAGCCCTGCCCACCAGGACACCTCAGCATTTCCATTTTCAGCAGTCGTTTACAGCTTTTGACAAGGTTACGCCGCAGTGCAGCAGGAACTGCTCTTCTCCCAGCTGTGCCCAGGGTTTATTTCCAGCCCGCTGCAACAGCTCTCAGCATTTCTGAATTCCAGCCTTCCTAAATCCTTCTGCCCCAGCAAAGCCAACAGAAACCTGCTGAAAGCTCCAGCTTGCCTCACTCCAGATGGAGATAAAGTGAACACCCTGTATCTAAACAGATCATTATTCCTGACTTTGGTTTGAGGAAGGAGGGGGAAGATGCAGAGGGAGAGGCCCAACCTCCTCCACAAGCACAGCACACAGAAGGGCTCGTGCTCAGCACCCATCAGGCAGTCTTACAGTGGCGTTTACTAACAATCTGAACCTTGCCCACCTCAGGAGAAGGATTCACATTAAACTAAAACTCACAGTTTTATTCCCTGGATTAAAATGGGTTGCATTTTAGAGCAATTTCATTAAAAACTCCTTAAAAACGACTCTATCCACTTGCTGGCAAAAAAAAAAAAAAGACCATTCACAAGACATCTTAGCACAGTGAGAGAATTCCTTTCATGATCAGCACAGGACCTTGATTGGAGTTGTTTCAGCACAGGGGCCGTTGTGTTTGTGGCCTTGGGAAAACTTGCTACAAAAGGTAAGCTGATCTGGAGAGCAAAGGATTTCTGTCACCACACAGGTGGGAAGCACGGCCTGGAGGCTGGACACAGATGGTGCCTTCCTCCAGTCAGCTGCTAACAGATTGCTGTGCCACCCAGCAAAATCCTCAGCATTCAGTGCCAGCTTCCCTGTGGGCCCAGAAAACAGACCAGAGAGCCCTGACTGCACAGCACACCTCTGGAAGACAGGCAGAGCTCCGAATTAGTTAAATACCATTTAAACCAAACCAACGCATTAGGAGAGATTGTAGCATGGCCAGAAGGAGTTGGTCTGGGCTTATTTTTGCACAGCTCAGTGCTGATAGCTGGGAAGCTCTCAGGTGCCACAGGCTGGGTGTTTAAAACACAACACATGGCCTCTATGCCCCAAAAAGGCACCAGGTTCTCACCCACAGGGTCACCAAGGCAGAGTGCTGAGTTCTACATATGCCAGCTGTGGTGTCTGAATACCTGCAGAGATGCTCAGTCACACACCTATGTTCACCAAGTGAAAGGAGAGCAACACCACAGGTCTCCTTCAAAGCAAAAGCACACATTCGTGCACCCCGTGAGTTGTGCTGTGAGCAGCAGGGTGCAGCTCCTGTGCAGGAGACACAGCTTCAGAAGAGTTTCACTGCAATGAAGTTCATAAAGACTACAATCATTACTACACCGGTGATTTCCTGTGCCTCAGCACTCATAATCACAGCTCTCAGCCACAATTTTGCACTTTCATCCATTTAAAACGTTTGTTTTTTTTTTTTTTTTTTTTTTTTCTTTTGCTGCTCCCCAGTCTCACTACGACCATGACCTGGCATAAGGAAGATGGGGCCAGAAAAGAAAACAATAAAGGAAGATTCTCATTAAAAGAAAAAAAAAAAAAAGAATCACATTAAAAGAGCTTCGGGTTCACTGCAAAGTGAGCTCTGAACACATCACACCACCCGCAGCCACGCTCTCGCCCCTCAGCAGTTCAGTTACTCTGTTGCTACAATTTGTCACCCACCAGAGGTCAGCGAGTCTCTGCCAGAGCCCTCTGCCTATCCTCCAGGAAAACAAAGTTTCACTTGGCACTTAGCGTTACAAGAACGTAACGAAATGAACCATTTTCACCTCAATTTCTGAAGCAGACCGCAGCCTCATGGAGCGGCCAGCAAGCAGCCAGCACCAGAGCCTGGCTGCCAGTGCTCACTCAGGGCTGGTGACACAGTGCTGAAGAACAAACCTGGATGTTATGCTTCCTGTAAGAGCAAGATAAGTTACAGAAAGCACGTTCTCCATCACATCTGTGGCACGTGGCCCTTCAGGCCAGGCTCTGCGAGGAGATTCCTGCTTATCACAGTCAGGGAGCCCTGCCACCGGCCTGAGGCAGCAGATGCCTTCATGCAGCTTTGCAGTGGGGAGGAAACGCACGCCAAGGTGCCATCTAAGCTGTGCTCCCTGGTTACTGCCTTCACAGACACCAGGCGTGCTGCAGATGCTTCGCTTCCATTCTCAATCACCAACATCTGGAGGAAAGCTACAGAGTGGCCAAAATCCGCAGGAATGAAACCACCACCACACAGAACGTCTGACCCACTCCAAAAATGAGGGCTTCAAAAGGAATCATTTTTTTCCCAGCGGCTCTGTAAACTCCAGCAATAGCTGCACCTGTGGAGGAGAGGAAAAGCAGAAATATTACTGTGTGATGGCAATGAGAGCTGTACTGCTGCGCTACGGGAATACAGGGAGGGATTTAACTGGAGGGAATGCAAGGCTCTTAGGGAGAAGGCTCTGCAGATAAGCAGGTGGAGGCAGATCCATGAGAAACCTCAGCAGAAGCAACACATGCAGATCACAGCACATGACAGTATTATTAAGGTTGGAAAAAAACACTAAGAGCACCTAGTCCAACCTCCCCCAGCCTCACCATGCTCACTGACCGTGTCTCTCAGTGCCATATCTCCGTGGTTCTTGAACACCTCTGGGAACACCACCTCCCTGGGCAGCTGCACCAGTGCCTCATCACTCCTTGGAGAAGGAATTGTTCCTAATATCCAGCCCGAACTTCATCTAGCACAACCTGAGGCCACCACCTCTCGCCCTGTCGCCGTTACCTGGGAGCAGAGGCTGACATCCCCTCCCACAGCCTCCTGTCAGGGCTGCAGAGCTCTGCCCTGAGCTCCTCTTCTCCACGCTGACCCACCCCGTTCCCTCAGCCGCTCCCACAGCGCTGTGCTCAGACCCCTCACAGCTCCGCTCCCTTCCCTGGGCACACTCCAGGACCTCCTCGTCTTTCCTGCACCGAGGGGCCCAGCGCTCAGCATAGCACTGAGGTGTGCCCCCAGCAGCGCCATATAGAGAGACAGTCCCCTCCTGCTGCCTGCTCTGCTGCTGTCACAAGCAGGGATGTTGCTGGGCTCCACACCCACCTAGGCACGCTGCTGGCTCAGTTCAGCAGCTTTCAGCTCACACCCCCAGACATTTTCCCTCTGCGCAGCTTTCCAGCCATTCTGCCCCAACCCTGCAGCAACGCTCGGGATGTTGTGACCAAAGTCCACAAAGCCCATCCATCCAGCCTGCGCACCCACCGGGCCAGCAGTTGGGAAAGTTCTGCCGGGGCCTTGCTTCAGCCCCGCCCGAGCTGCCCTGCTCCCCAGAGCTGCCCTCCCAAACACCCCCCGGCCGCCCCTACTTGTCAGGATGCCGGCGGTGATGGGTCCCACGATGCCCATCAGCAGGAGGCTGACGGACATGAACCTGCCGTACTTGTGGTGCCGGAGGGTGAAGAGAGCGAGCAGGGCGGCGGGAACGTGGAAGGAGAGCGAGGAGACGAGGGCCCACAGGAAGACGCCGTACCACATCTCTGCGGGGAGAGCGGCGGTCAGGGCCGGCCCGGGCCCGGAGCCCTCCGAGAGAGCCCCGGGAAGGGCAAGGCGGGGCTCGGGGCGGAGAGGCCGTACCTGGGAAGGTGGACAGCGGGCTGGAGTAGGTGGTGCCGTTACCGACGCGGGGCACCAGGCGGAGGCTGAGGATCTGCTGTAGCAGACCCCCGCCGCCCGCCTCGCCGCCCTCCATCCCCTCGGCTTGGCTGGCTGCCGGCCCGCCCCCCCAGCCGCTCCAACCAATAGCGAGCGCCGCTCGCCGACGGGCGGTTCCTCTCGCCAACCAGCAACGGGCTGCCATAGGAACGGCCGCCAGCCGCAAAGCATGCCGGGAGCGGTGCGGAAGCGGGTAGGCGGCGGTGAGACGCTCTAGCCGTCACGCCACCTTCTCGTCGTCGCTTCCCCCTCTTTTCACGGCGCGGGCGTCGGTCCTCCCCGCTAGGGGGCGCTCCGAGCCGGCAAAGGCGACGCTCTGGTGGCGGTGGTGGCCGCGCGTGCGGGAGGCGGCGGTATGTCGGGCTGCGAGGAGGAGGCGGGGGACGGGTACAGCTCGGCGGAGGACGAGGACTACGTGCCTTCGGGTGAGCTGGCGGCGCGGGGGGATGCAGCGGGGCCGGGGCTGGGGCCGGTTGGAGGGCGCGGGGCTGAGCGGCTGTGCTTGCAGGTGCGGAGTACAGCGAGGAGGACGAGAGTGAGCTGCTGAGGGAGGAGGAGGAGGAGGCGGCCGGCCCAAGGCCCACCCGCGGCAAGAGCGGCTCCCGGCGGGCCGCCCGCAGGTAGGGAGCCCGCCTGAGGGAGCGGCCCGTTTCTTTGTGCTTCGTGCCTTCCAGTCGGGATTTAAGAGGCCGAGAGCCCCGGCCTGAGCTGTGCTGCGCCTGAAGCCCTCAGCGGTGGGGAGTCGGGGGAGGGAGCGCTGGGGTGATGCACCAAGTTCACCTGTCAGCCCTGTGCCTCATGCAGCTCTGCGTGTTTGCTTGCGCTCTGCTTGCAGGAAGAAGAGGAGAGGCCTCGTGCTTGAGGTCGATGAGAAAGAGGAAGGAAAAGTTCAGGAAAATGAAGACGAGGAGGATGACTTAAAGCAGTCAGAAAGAGACCAGGAAGAAGAAGAAAAAAAGAAAGAGGACGCACTTTGGGCCAGCTTCCTCAGCGACGTGGGGCAGAAGCCCAAAGCAGCGGCCACACAGGCAACTTGTGCTGACAAGGTACCAGGGTCCCCCTTTGCTGAGGGGATGTGGGGTGGCTGAAGCTGGAATGTGTGGGTGGCAGACACAGCACTGCTATGGAGGGGCTACATTCATTTGTGCCCTAGCTGTTCTGTATGCCTGGAGCCCCGCTATGGGCCAAGCTGCTGACTGCCTTCCCACTGGGGAAGCCTGCAGTCTGGAGTCTGCAGTCTGCTGCTTCCTGGAGCTGCTTCTCAGCATCCTCTGGTGTCCCATCAACAGCTGGCAGTGTCTCTTTGTGGTCTTGGAGTCGCCTTGTGAAGTGCATGTGAGAAGTGAGGCTGGGCTCGAGTTACACTCGTGGGCACAACTTTTCCTTAAGGCTTCTTGGGCCTTTGTCACTGCTCCAGTAACACGCAGTCTGTGTGTATAAGTGTGGAAACAATCATTCCAGCTATTCCTCTCTTGCTGGAATTAGTTTTTTTTTTTCTTCTCCAACGGATCAACCAAAAGAATCTTTTGTAACAGAAGTCTTGACTCTTGAACTGGTGACATATGGCTGCAATTCTCCTTGCTTCTCTCTACAACTGGAAAGCTGGAGGTTCAATATAGTTTTGCAATCCTTGCTTGCAGCTTTTAGGAGGAGCATCATTTCATCTGAAGCCTCGTGCTTCGCCCCACCTCAGGTCTTACTGGGCGAATGGCTGAGTGGCTGTGCTTGATTTGAGAAAACTGTGACTTCAGGCTTTTGCTTGCTCTCTGAACCACAGCACTGTATCCTTGCTAGTTCCTATATGTAATTAAAGTTTCTCTTCTTGTTTTGGCTCTGAACTGTGACTTACAATGATAAATTGAGAATGAGATGGGGGTTATGCTCTTTGACTAACCAGACTAAATTACAGCAATACCTGAAATTTGTATTGGGTGCTTGGCCATTCAGAAGTGGGATTTGGCTTGAGTGTAGAAATGCACTGTTGTGTTTTCTCCTTCATATATTCCACAGGCTGGAGAAGAGAAGAGTGTGAACAAGCTTCAGGGGAAACCAAAAGAGTCTGAGAAGCCAAAAGATTCAGGAAAAGTCACAATCACCAAAGTGTTTGACTTTGCTGGTGAGGAAGTCAGGTGAGTTGGCAGTTCAAGGCTTCTGCTGCAGGCTCGTGCAGAGCACGTGCTGTCCTGCTGCTGACGGGCTGATGCACGTGAAGCAGGGTGTCTGTTCTTGTTTGTATCTTTATGCTTTTAATCCTGAGCACAGAAAGACCTCAGGGAAAATGAGGCCAGAATTTTTTGCTGAGGGCTGCAGAGTACACTTATGTGCAGACCCCAGCCTTTGATCACCTTCAGAATATTCCTGTAAATTCACTTAGGCTTCCCCAGGTTGATGAAGTATGAAACGATGGCACTGCCAGGGCTGAGGCAGGAGAGAAATGAAATCAGCACTCAGTGATTGCAGGCACACATTTTATTCTTTCTGTGTAGTCCAAATTGCGTGCTGCTGGCAGGATATCTGCTGGCACTTTCCCAGGGGACATTTACAATCCTGTTCAGAGATGTGCAGATTGTAAGAGGTGTTTCACTGGGCTCATGGTTAATCACTTCCTCCTCTAACAGCTGCATGAAGGTGATGGGCTAAGTTAAATCACCCTGTAGGCTGTTTGGCTTGTGAAAATCCACTTGAGATGAGCTGCAGAAGGACAGGTACGTTATAAAGCTGTAAAAACAAAACTGAGGTGAGGTCCTGGTGAGCCCGTTTGGAATCTGCTAAGCTGTGTCGGTTTCCTGTGACAGCAGAGGGCAGCAGATCCCAGCGATAACACCTGAACTGCCCAACTCGGCGGGAGGAGGCGGGGAGCTGGGGCTTGCATTGCTCTTGCTTTTCATGCCAGTGCTGCTGCCTGAGAAATGTGGGGAAAGCCATGAGTTCTGGTAGAGGCTTTCCCATTCCCCTGCACAATCTGGACTAAAGGAATGCGCTTTGTTCCTAATAAGATGGCAAAGAATTGTAGCACTGCTTCTCTTCTGAGAGAATCTGCCATCCCCTTTTTGCAAGGGAGAGATGAAGCTTTTTTATCATGGACAGACAAGAACCTGTGGTGGAATTACAGACAAAAACTTTATTTTCTGGTGCACGGTCCTCAGCACCCAGCTTGTTGTTTGTCCCCACTTCTGAGGTGTGCAGTAAGAGAGTTTGGTTCAGAGGCATTGTCCTACCGGCTGAGAACAGAGGAGGCTTCTAGAGTTGCAGGCTCACACAAAAGCCTCGTTGGGTTGTGATGCATCATCAGGTGGCACGTGGCAGAGCTGTGCTCTCAGTGCTCTGGAGTTGCATGAAATCAGAGCGCAGTCTTGTTTGAAATCTGGGCACATCCATCTGTGAGCTGTAGCTGAGTGCTGCGTCCTAATGCGAGTATAGAAGGGAAGGCATTGATTTACAGCTTGCCACGTAGGCTTACCTCAGAGCACTTGCAGAAGAGGATTTTGTGTGCACCAGAGCTTTGAAGCTGAGCTGAACTTTTGAGCTGTTCAGAGCCTGTAAAATGTCTGCCTCGCAGCTTCTGGTTTACCTGTCTGCCAGAAGTCTCAGGTAATTGTTGTTTCTATAGAGTGCCCGCGTTGCTCAGATGTTGGTCTGATTCTGAAGTTTGTGTGGTGGTTGCAGATTACAGATGAACCACTGAAGCTTTTATTTCATTTTATTCTGTTTTTGTTTGAGGCTCAGGGAAGCTTCCTGTCCTTCCAGAAGCTTACGAGACCAGAGCTTGGTCAGGGCTCCTCAGAGCTCAGGGCTCCCCCAAGTTTCGTGCTTCTGGCATCACCATCTTCTCTCTCATTTTTTAATAGCTGTAGCAAGGACTTTCCAAGCTAGACAGAGGAGTGCTTTTCTGCACCGTTGGCTTTTCTAGTGTCTTTTACTCAATATTGATTATTTCTTCTGGGGATCTGCAAAGGCACAGATGGAAGTTCCTACTAAATGTTGATCAGTTAAGCAAAAGCTGGACCTTAGGCTACATTGAGACTGTAAGCCACTGCTAAAGTACTTATTTACAACAGGATACAGAGCCAGCTGCAGTGAGATCTGGAGGACTGACCGGTCCGCGCTGCTGCTAGAGTTCCAGCACGCTGCTTTCTTTAGCTCTTTGATAGCAGAAAAAGCCTTCTGTGTTTTTCATCCTTTTGATTTTTATGGCTGAGAAACAGCATTCAAAGCTGAAGCTTCAGTGGCGTTTGCACCTCAGAGCGTCTGCTGCGGGTTGCCGTGTGTAGGATGTACAGAGCCACCCCTGCGCCCAGCTGCTGCTGCTGCTTTTAGTTGCAATAGGTGAGGACCGGAGGGCTTTTTCTTTTGAGTAGCAGGAGGTCGTCTTTGACCCTAATGGCCGCAAACGTTCTGAATACCAAACGCTGACTTCCTTGCCTGGGGAAGCAGCTGGCAAGTCGGTGCTTACAAAAGACGGCGCACGGTAGTTGTGTGTGTTTTTGGACTGAAAGAGCTGCAGTGAGAGAGCTGTCTCTGTTACTTTCCTTTCTAAATGACTTCAGGCTGCTTTAGAGCGTTGCTCTTCTGAAAGCTTGAGAAGAATTTAGATCAGTATTTAGGCACTGAGAGATTCAGGGCACAAATTTCAACAGTCTGCTCATTGAAGCCTTTAACAGAAGATCATTTAGCCCTGATCTTACTTTGCAGAACAATTTATTTTCCCCTCTAAGAAGATGTAAAAGATCTCTTGCATGATTAGAGGAGTAGAAGTCTCTTGAAAGAAATCTCCAGCTACGGGGTTGCACTAGAATAACCCAAGACCTACCTTTTTAAGCTGCCAGCTCCCGTATATGTTATTGTTGCACTTGACGTGCTTTTAGCAGTTGCTAGTGCTGAACTTTAGGTTCAGAGCATTGCAAATTACTGATGACCAAACAAAGAATCAAATTTAGTGGCTTCTAATTTTACAAAATGTGTGGTTCAGTAATGCCTTCTAAAACAAAAACTGGTTTCCAGGATTCATCTTTGTAACCAATTTCCCTTTTCATCAAGCCATGGCCCGGGTTGCAA